AGTGCACATCATCAGATATTTCAGTACAATAGTGGATATTTCTATACTCAAACTTTCTATATAGGAAGAATTCACACAGGCTATGTGTTAGAAATTGCTGTAAATTCTTTTGGACAGCTGGGAGCCTGTCACTCAAGGAAATGCTTGGCTGTACTTAAGAGTTTCCAGTTCTAGCTCCCCAACACCTGTAGAAGAATCAACAACTTGCATTTATATAGCATCTCAGAGCAAAGTTTCTCTTCACCAGATCTGGACTGCACAACCTTTCTCTCAGGTTTCCAACCATATCACCCCTGTGGGTTGGCAGAAGCCAAGATAATAATAATAATCCTGGCATTTGATATAGCGCGTTATCACATCTTTGAGACATCTCTAAACACTTCACAGAATATACTGTAAAGCAAATTAAATGTATATTTTGTGGGTGAAATGCAGCAGCCAATTGTGGACATCAGTGTCCTATAAACAGCTGTGGATTGAGAAACCAATTTTAAATTTTTTTTAAGGAATTATTACCCCCAGTAAAGCGATCCACTGATTGCCTAACAACCAGATTCCTACTTACTGCTGTAAGCAGAGGTGAGGAGTAAGGAAACTTACTTAAAGTAAGATGGGACCTATTGGGACTCCAAAGCCCATATTAAGGTGTTGTTGGAATTGAACCTAAGGAAAATCCATGAGGCACTGATAAGCTTCCTGCTGCTCATCCAGCTCAGATGATCCTTATTGCTTGAGCATTTGGTTGCAAGGTTAATAGAAACAGAGTGGGATATTCAAAAAGTAAAGGGAGTTTCCTGATCCTGGTCAATAATTTTTAGATATAAAATTGGTGTTTCACTTCATGGCTGTTTGTGGAACATTGTTGTGAACAAATTGGCTGCAGCATTCACTACACTTTGTAGTAAAAGCCAATGAAGGGTTTTGAGATGTCTTTGATAATATGATAAGGCGCTATATCAAATGCAAAGATTATCATTATAAGGCACCCAAACCTCTTCTTCGACCAGGTTTAAAGGGAGATACAGAGAGGTTGAAACTATAATCCTTTAAATCCGAGACAAGAAAGAGCAAACAAACCCTTTAAAAGTCAGTGACACAATCAGTATTCTTATTTTGATTTGTTTTCAACAGTGGTATTTGAAGTTTGGCTCTGACATTTTGTCTAGAGAGATTATTCTGGGGCATTAGGCAAAATATTAAGAAATCTGTTCAGAGCTGGCAGGATGTGTCAGAGCTTCAAAGGAGGTGATGAATTTGTGTTTATTTTATCACTCCTGCTGGACTAGAAGAACATAAAACCCAAGCACAGCAAAGCAGGTGGTATTCATTTCAGTTGGACATTTAAATAATCTGTCAGGGAAAGAACTCCTTAATCTTTCAACAACGTACAACTGCTGTCGGATTAATTAAAGCTTTCAGAACTGGTATGGTTGTTAAATTTCTGCTCCGTGCAGCAGTGTTTGGAGTGAGAGAGAGAAGGTGCTTCTCAGCCAATGTCCTGGATCACAGCCAAGAAAGCCCTGAACACTAGTCATTAACTGGCAACACTCTCAGTTCTGACAACTAATTGGCCCCTTTCATTTAAAAGCCCAATTGGGACATCAACAGGAAGGGCACAGTCTTAGGCTTGAAATTCTACCTAGACTTAGCCTGATTTGACTTTGCGCAGAATTGTGAAGAATGCATAAATTCAGCCATAACTAGGAAGCCATTTCTTATTAAGAACGGTTTCTGAATTCAGACTGAATTTAAAATTGATCCACAATAGAGCTGCGTGAGCTTATGTTTTAAGCCAAAATGGTCCCGCCGGATGAGACGTGGTGGTATTTTAAACTAAAGGAGTCTGAGCAAGATGGTTTGTATAGCATCAACTTGCATTTATATAGCACCCATCATGCGGAGCAGCACCTAGGAGCGCTTAATAAAAGAAACAAATAATTTATCTCTACTCTCTCTCTGCACATATCTGCCTCTGGTTCATTAGAAACTCGAGGTTAAAGGCAAACCAGATTGGGAAAAATTTGGATATTTCAGCTTCAACCAGAAATGTTTAGTTAGTCACGTTTGGTTTTCAAGGTCTGCTTCACGTAATCACAGGAATTTGCAATGCAGAAGGAAGCCATTCAGCTTATCGCATCTACATCGGCTTTCAGAACACATGTCATTTTAAAGATGTTGCGCCTTTAAAATGTTTATTTCTTCTTTTTAAGTCACCTGAACCAAAGTATATTATTATTATTAATAATAATCCTTGCATTTGATATAATGCCTTAACACATCATTGAGAAGTCTCGGAAGGCTTCACAGAATCTATTGTGAAATGGATTGACTGTGTATTTTGTAGGCAAAATGCTCCAGCCAATTGTGCACAGTAGTGTCTCACAAACAGTCATCAATTGAGTGACCCAATTTTTTACCCTCAGAAAGCAATCTGCCAAACGACTATCAACAGGATTCCTACTTACTCCAAGGTAAACAGAGGCGTGTGGAGTAAGGAAACTTGCCTGAGGTTTCACCTGCCTGGAAATCAAACCCGGATACCCTCTTTTGCTATTAAAACCTTACATTAAAACACAGTGGTTGGCTACTGAATCCCCGAGGTGAAATGCAAAACCATGAATGCACAGGAGTTGACGGTGCTTGCTGCTTGTTTCAGAACTCTCCAAGCAATGGTAACACCGAGCATTGGTCCATTCTGTGCCAGCTGGGGCAGCACTCACCATCAGAGGAGGGAGGGTACTGAGCTGGTCTGTGTATGTGTCTGTCTATATATACCCATTATTATGACTGTAGATACTGCTGAGTGACTGGAATTTAATTGGACCTGTGGTTGCTCTCTGAGAACTGCTCCAGGGATAAACTCAAATTTCAATCAGTCTTCCTGGATCAGGAAAGAATTAACGGTGGTAGGAAGTTTGGTACAGGTGGGAATGCATCGGGTTAGACTACGGAATACAGAGTCCCTACACATTCCAGTAAATCCTGTGAAGCGCTTTGTTATGTCTTGATGATGTGAAAAGCGCTAAATCAAATACATGGTTTATTTTGGTCAGTCGGGTGTCTTGACACATACATCATCATGCTTGAAAGTATCCAAATCAAACTGAGAATTCCATGATCCCGCCTATGCATTGGATATTGCAGAGATAGATTGTTGGAATGGAATGCGCCCTCTCTCTTGAGGGACATATCCTGTTTACCAATTTCCGGAGATTATTAGGCTCAGGTTGGCCAAGGCTTTTTAAAAGCAATGCCTGGCAACTGTTCCCATTGCTTGTCCAGCTGGGACAACCCTGCCCATTAGTGCTTTGGCTTGCAAGGTTCACAGGAGCTGAGTGGGAAGAGCTCCCGACCCCCCCGCCCAGCGACCGGTCTGGCGTACGTGACCGTTCTTCACCTGAGAGCCAAGGGGCCGGATGTAGAGGACATCACAGCCAAGCACTTGATTAGACAAATATTTTCCATCAGCAATCATTATTGGACAGTGATCAGAAGCCGCAATCCTAGGTGATTCTTTCCCCACCCCATCCCCAACTAATCCAGGGCACAGAAACCAATTGTAACAGCCAACGGTTGCCACAAGTGAGCTGAGCTAACATCAGTGAACGTGTGACTCGTGTGGTCTATGAGCTCTCTTGCTGCTCTGCTATAGACATCCCTTTCTCAATGGTTGATCCAAAGATCACACTGATTGAGCGCTCTTACACTGTGCACGAGCAGATGATTCAACGACTGTGACATCTTGTCAAAGCATTCTTGTATTCGTGCTGTAAACGTTGCGCCGTTCGATAATGTTACATTGCTGTGAAGTGAAAAATATTATTGATGTAACGTTATTGAATGTTACTGAGATTTTGCCCTATCTTTTCTGAAAATCAATGTGAATTTTAATGCGCATTTGTGTACATGTATGCATATTTGTGTGTATGTGGGTGCATACGTCTGTGTACAAGGGTTTAATGATCAAAGCAGGTCCAGCGCCTTGGGATGTACTTCCCGATGTGAAAGGCGCTATACAAATGTAATTTTGTTGTTGCTGTTGTTTGAGGTTGGAGTCCCAGCCTCACCTGCTGCTTCTGCAACTTCTCCTGCACGCAATTCATGACTACCCTCAGTCTCCAGTCGGTGCTGGGCCCAGTGGTTAGAGCACTCACCTTGCAAGCAGAAGACCTGGGTTTGATTCCCGGCAGGGCGAAATCTTGGGCAAGTTTCCTCACTCGCCTGATAATAACCCCTCAAGAAAAAAAATATTAATTTGGTCACTCAATCCACGACTTTGGTACACTGCTGTGCGCAATTGGCTGCCGCATTTCGCCCACAAAATATACAGTCAATTCACTTTACAATCTATTCTGTGAAGCGCTTTGAGACGTCTCGAAGACGTGAAAAGCGCTATATCAAATGCAAGGATTATTATATTATTATCTATTATACATTCTGCCACAGCGACTGCGAGGAGAATGGGTCTGGATTTCACCGTGTGCAGCTCTTCCGTTCCCTCTTGTGGCTGACTGCAGAACGACACAGAAGGAGCTGACCAGCAGACTGTCTACAGTATAATGTAGATTTGATATAGCGCCTTATCACGTCGTTGAGACGTCTCAAAGTGCTTCACAGAATATACTGTAAAGTGAATTGACGTGTGTATTTTGTGGGTGAAACGTGGCAGCCAATTGTGCTCAGCAGTGTCCCACAAACAGTTCCAAAATATTGAGTGGCCATATTTTTTTTGAAGCGATGATTACACCCTTTGAAAAGCATTCTGCCAATTGACCAACAACAATAACAACTTGCATTACTAAGCGCCCCTCGTTCAAGGTAGCGTCCCAGAGGGCTTGAACAACCGGGTTCAAATAGTAACAGTAGAGGCGTGTGGGCTTTCCCGAGACATCCCTTCGCTGATCCCAGCTGTGTCTGGCCAAGTGCAGGAACTCTCTTCCCCCACCGCTGTCACCACCCGAGTCTGATCATTCATACGCCTGCTTGTTTGTTCTCTGCAGGAAGGATCAGCGCCGCTTGCTTGGGAGGTCGGGGCACGGCAGAGGAAGGCTCGTACACCCGCAGCTGATCGTACACATCCAGTAGCACGCCGGGGCTGGACGCCCTCCCGAGACATCCCCTCGCTGAGGCCCTGAGCGGCGTCTCGCAGCCTGTACGAGGCTTTGACGGATTGCAAGCCTCTCGCTCCAGACCTCGCTGACCGTCCGTCCGCTCAGACCGCAGCCTAACCCACGAGCCTGAGAACGTGAGCTTCCGCCCTTGCCCCACACAACTCTTTGCAACATGAATTTCCTGCGCCGACGACTCTCCGACAGCAGCTTTGTGGCTAACTTGCCGAATGGCTACATGATGGACCTGCAGCGGCCGGACAGCTCCCCGGTGTCACCGGCCCCTGAGCGCCGGCAATCATCCGCCCCCTCCACAGGCACTGGCATCCTCAGCTCCATCACCAACGTCGTCAAGCAGACCACAGCAGCCGCTGCGGGGCTGGTGGAGCAGTCGGGGAATGCTCCCCCTGCCGCCCAGGGCCCCCCCGCCGTCCGCAAGCCCAAGATCCTCCTGGTGGTGGATGATGCCCACACGGACTGGTGGGTTCCTCAGCAACAGCATCGGGAGCTCTCGGGGGAATTCACACTGCATGGGAGTTGGGAATTGGGTAGGAGTGAGCTGGAGGAGGGGAGATCGTTGATAACTTTGGGGAGTCCAGGTTATAATAATCCTTGCATTCAATATTGTGCCTCATCACACGTCTCAAAGCGCTTCCAGAATATACTGTAAAGTGAATTGACTGTATTTTGTGGGCGAAATGTGACAGGCAATTATGAACAGCAGTGTCCTACAAACAGCCATGGAGTGAATAGCCAAATTATCTTTCCTTTTTATCCTCCATTTGACTAGCAACCGGGTTCCTACTTATTATTAGGTAAACAGAGGCATGTGGAGTACGGAAACTTGCCTAAAGTTTCGCCCCATCCAGGAATACATATCAATATTATGTTCCCAGAACTATAATATTGTATTTCGTCTACAAGCCCCACTGAAACTTTACAGTAAATCCTATGAAGCGCTTTGAAATCTGCCTGATTGGAAAGGCGCTATATCAAATTCAAGGATTGTTGTTATTTTTATCATCATGATGATGTGGGAGGGGCTCCTGAGGCCTGGCTGTCAGTAAGTAAAATCATCGATGTGTCCGCTTCCACACGGGCTTGTGAGGAGCCCTTGGAGAGGCTTGTCAGACAGAGCACTGACTGATCTGGTTAGTGTGGGGCATAGAGTGGTTGAGCTGCTGTCAAATAGTCAGCAGATGGCAGACAGTGACTGCTCGTGGCTCCAGACTCCGTCTGAGATGACAATTCATTGCCTCATAATAATAACAGTAACAATGATAAGAATAATCACATTGTCCAGATGACTCAAAGTGCTTTGCAAGATTTACTGTGAAGTATAGTGATTACATATATGTAGGCGAACTACAAAACCAACAGCTAATGTTTTTGTTCGGTAAATGGTTTCCTTCCTGGACTTCTAGATTCGTTTGTTACTTCCCGCACTGCTCTGTTTTTGTTGGCCCTTAATCTGAGGTATTAAATGAAATGGTCCAAATCTTCTGGACGTTTAGGAAGTGCTTATAATAATAACTCATCCTACTCCACGACATTGCTGTGCGCAACTGGCTGCCTGCCGCGGTTCACCCCAAAAATTGACGTCTCGACAACATGATAATCTGCTATATCAAATGCAAGGATTGTTATTATTTATTTAATATCCACCTGAACAGGCAGATGGGACCTTGGTTTAATGTTTCATCTGAAGGAGATGTGCTTGTTGTGTGTTCTCATGTTCCTGGGAGCTGGGCTGGGGAAGGCCAGGTGTCTGCCACTTTGGAGTTTTTGCAGCTGCTGGTGAGAGATAGAAAGGAGATTTCGCTTCCCATCGGTGTTTGGTCTGGAATTAAAGACAGCTCCCACAGCACACTAACAGCTGTGCCAGTGAATTGCTCTGGGAGGCAGGAGGTTTGTCTTCCTATCTCTGGGTCTATGGGACACACTTGTGTGCACATCAGCGCTAACCCGTCTCCTATCCCAACATCCTCAATAATGGAGTCCTGTATCATAGGGATCAGTGCGCTCGCCTCACAAGTGAGAGGACCTGAGTTTGATTCCCGGGCCAGGCGAAAACTTAGGCAAGTTTCCTCACTCCATATGCCCCTGATTACCCAGCAGGAAGTAGGAACCTGATCGTTAGTCGATTGGCGGATCACTTTCTGGGGGAAAAAAAAGTTGGTACTTCAGTCCACGATTGTTTGTGGGATACTGCTGTGGGCAATTGGCTGCCACATTTCGCTCACAAAATATACAATCAATTCACTTCACAGTATATTCTGTAAAGCACTTTGAGATGTCTCTACCACCTGGTAATGCAGGCCATACATTTCTAATTCCCATCTGTGATGAATTTGATCAGCGGCACACGAAGGCGGGAGGGGAAAAGAGTCACTGGGTCCAATTTGCGATTTCTTAATGGGATTTCTCAATAAGAATTGTTCCTCTGAGCCCAGTGGTGTTCCAGTGCACACCAACCTGTGTCCTCTCTGGTGTGTCACATGCAGCCCGGGCACATATTTCTGATTCTCCTTGGAATAAGTTGTATTCTCTTTTCTTCTCTCAGGGCCAAATATTTCCGCAGCAAGAAGGTACTGGGAGACTGCGAGATCCGTCTGGAGCAGGTCAGAGCACAAGTCTAACTCTGCTCTCCCTCTGTCTCTCCGACTCTGTCTTTTTGTCTGACTTTGTTTGTCTGTATGTCTATGACACTGTCTTTCTGTTTCTTCTCTCTGACCCTGTCACTCTCTCTCTCTGTCTGACTCTGACTCTGTCTCTTTCTCTCTCTCTCTCTGACCCTGACTTGAGAGGGCATAATCTGATAGGCAAGTTGGCTTCAGTGACTGGAGGGTTGAACTGATTCACGCAAAGGAAAGCCAGGCCCTTCCTGTTCAAAGACTCAATTGCTTGGGTTTAAAAGTTCATCATGGGAATCTGACAATACTTGACGAAGTGTAGGGTATGTGTGTGTGTGTGTATGTATGTATGTGAGGGGGTGAGGGGGGGGGGTGGTGGTGGAATAGTCTGATGGGTTCAGTGATGGGGGAAGAGAATTATCCACGATATCAATAGATGGGTGAGGAAGGGGCCCCATGGCAGCAGTAGGAGAGGGAGAGAGGAGCTTCTGGGGTGCTTGCCCACATTTCTGTTCCACCTGATGGTGCCAGGTGCACAATGTCTTTGTTTTCTGCCAAATACAGGAGAACGGTGAGCTGTTTTTATGTATTTTGGGGGCGTGGGGTGGGCGCCTGGGTTTGGAGAGCTAAAGCCACACATCAGAGATTTAAAAGATCTACAATTTGAGCCACATCACAGATCGGAGGGTGACCTAGTCCAGGCCACTTGTCTCATTTCAGACTCATTGGAAGGACGACACCCCCAGCACTGTATGGGGTCTCAGCCTAGACTGCGAATCCAGCCGACAGCCTTGACTTGGTAATTGTAATTTCTGATTTCGAAACAACTGATTGTGAAAGTAACAGCCAGGGAATTGCAAATCCCATGCTGGGGAAGGCTGACAGAATGTGGCTGGATCTGCTGGTCTGGCAGTCAGCAATCACAAGCAGATTATTATCAAGCTGAAATTTGCAAGTGAAGGCAAAGCATCCAGCTTGTAAATGTTGTATCTGAAACTCTTATATGATCATTCAGAGGCTTTCATAGGTCTGCGAGAGAGGAGGGTTGACGTGTGTTTGTTCTATGGTTCAGGGATGCTGGTTTAAGCAGAAAAGGTGGTGCCAGATTAGCTCAGTTGGTAGCACTCGGCTCTGAATCCGAACGCTATGAGTTCAAGCCCCACGTCGGGACTTTGAATTCGCAGTCTTGGCTGACACTCCACACTGTGCTGGGGTGTGTCGTCCTTCTGATGAGGCATCGAACAGAGGTCACATCTACCTGTTCAGGTGGTCGTTTAAAGATAATAATATGAAGAATCCTTGCATTTAATATAGAGCCTTATCATGTCATTGAGACGTCTCAAAGCACTTCACAGAATATATTGTAAAGTGGATTGACTATGCATCTTGTGGGCAATTTGATCCCATTGCACTGTTTGAAAAGAGAAAGGAGTTTTTCTCAGTGTCCTAGACAGCAATCCCCCAAATAAAATTGGACATTCACTTCATGGCTGTTTTTCTGGATGTTGCTGTGTGCAAATCAGCTGCCATGCTTACATACAAAATGCACACTTCGCAATATATCCTGTGAAGAGCTTTGAAGTATCTGACCTCCCATTGTGAAGGTTGCTGTATCAAATGCAAGGATTGTTCAATTTGGTTTTAAAGTTGTTCAAAGTGATTTTAAACTCCATGTTTAACAGGCCTGTTAACACTGTTATCAGGTGGGGCAAAGTTTCCTTACTCCACACACATCTAGTTACCTAGCAGTTGTTAGTAAACTGGTGGATCACTTTCCAGGGGTAATAATCCCTCCAAAAAAAAAATAATTTGGTCATTCAATCTACGACTGTTTGTGGGACACTGCTGTGCGCAATTGGCTGCCGTGTTTCGCCCACAAAATATACAGTCAGTACATTTTACAAAATATTCTGTGAAGCTCTTTGAGATGTCTCAATGATGTGATCAGACGCTATATCAAATGCAAGGATTATTATCATCATTATTATTATCTATTCCCATCCATTCCCATAACATGGAATTCCAAAGTACCAAACTTCTTCCCATTCTCTCCCACCATGCAGAATTGAAGATCCATGTGTACCATTTAAACATCCTGCAGTTTTGGGAATGAAGTGCAGTTCTCCTAGGTCTGTGCACTGACTGGAAACCTTTCACAGGCAGTTCCCACCCACTAGATTCAAAGCCTTGTGCATAATACAGTAAATGTAGTTTTGCGAAGTGCTTTTTTTTGGCTGGGTCGAAATTGGACAGCAATATGAATGACTAAGCAGGTCATGGTATAGGGATCTGCAAGGGGCTATTTATAGTTAGGGTCAAAAGAAAACCAAATCCACAAAGCCTTTGCTGTTTATTGGGATCCAGCTGTGAATGTAAACTGGTGGCAAGTAAACTCTTAATTCTCATCAAATCTTAAGCATGTCCAAGCTTACCTAGCAGTAAACAGGAACCCGGTTGTTCGTCGATTGGTGGATCGCATTCCGAGGCTAATAATCCCTCCTCACAAAAAAAGTTTAGTCACTCAATCCACGACTCTTTGTGGGACAAAGTGGGAATGGGAAGGGGAGGAGTGAGAAACCAGATGTTCCTCTTGCATTGTCACCTGCTTCTACAAAAGCCCTCAGGAGACAGATTTTCATATAAACAGCCAGTAATCGGAGAGACCTACAAAAAATCCATAACGCAGCTGTGTTTCGATACTGCTCAAGAGGCTGTATCCATTCATTCTGTGTATTCACATCCATCTGTACCTTATCATTCAACTGCATAAAAGCCAAGCACTGTGCCAGACCAGAATATTGTTCCCATAACTGTGGAAGATCTCCAACACCTCTCGTTTGTTCTCAAAAAGGAAGACTAAGAAAGTACAATTATGTTAGAAGGATCTGTATCTTCTTCTCCCCCTTCCCGGAGAGATCATGAGCCAACATCTAACAATATGAAATCTAAGTGTGTTACTTCAGCCCCGTTGTGTGCATTAGTGAAATCCTATATTATATTTGTAACCATACACTCAATTTAGAAAAGGTGCCCCTGCACAATGTGGAGGGAGTTTTACCCTTTGTCTAACCCGCATTGTATCTGACCTGGGAGTGATTGATAGGGCAATGTGGAGGGAGTTTTAATCTGTATCTAATAATAATGAGAAATATTCCTTGCATTTCATATAGTGCCTTATCACGTCGTTGAGTCGTCTCAAAGTGCTTCATAGAATATCCTGTGAAGTGAATTGACTGTGTATTTTGTGGGTGAAACACAGCAGCCAATTGTGCACAGCTGTGCCCCACAAACAGTCGTGGTTTGAGTGACCAAAATTCTTTTTTGGGGGGATTATTACCCATGGAAAGTGATCCGCCAATCGACTCGGGAATCGAACTAGGTGCTCTTGCTTGAGAGGAGAGCACGCTAACCACCATGCTACAGGACTAACCTGTGCTTTATCTGACTCGGGAGTTATTGCTAGGGCAGCGGGGCTGGAGTTTCAACCTGTATCTAACCTGTGCTGTATCTTACCTGAGAGTGATTGATAGGCCAGTGTGGAAATGTGATTCATTGCTGAGAAGCCAGCACCACGTTAGCTCACGACAGCCGAGGAGAAGAGAAGGGACAGACTCTGTACAGTGAATTCTCTCGGAGGTCTGAATTCTTGGAGCTTATCTTCTACGCTGAGGCAGGGCACTGAAAGAGTCATCCACTTGGGGGGATGGGGGGTGGTGGAACACATCACAGAAACACCTAAAGACTCACAGAACAAAGCTGCTATTGAAGTGAATGGCTGGTCTTTTATTTAAGATCACACAGGCCATAGGCTCCACAAGCTTGGTTGAGAGGGCCACATGCAGTTGAGTTTCCAATTGTATCTCTTTAGTGTTTTTCTCTAAGGTATAGGCCATTCTGTTAATGTGCTCAGCAGAAAACTAGCCTGGTGTTTTCTGGATCCCCAAGTACTTCTCAAGTGGCTAAGACTCAAGTATTGCCCAGTCAGCACTGTTGCACAGCCTGTAATTAGCGGATTAAAGGGCAGCTGAGCACCTCTTCTGCTGGTGCTCAATAAAATGTGTTTTCATTCTCTAACAATGGCAATGGTGGAACGCAGGAAGACCACCCAGTCTAACAGATACTCCGCTCCTCCCAATATATTAACGTGTGAGCTGAAACAGTGAGTGTTGTCAGCCTATTTAACTATATAGTCAGTACTGTCCATGAACACACATTTCTGGGTGGAAGAAGAGGGTCATTAGATAAAGATTAGGAATCCTCCTGGGAGGGTGGGGGCTTGGGGGTTGTGGAGAGGTAAGCGGGGTCTCTTTGGAGCTGAACTGGCTCCAAGGTGACATGCTTAGAAACGGAATGTTGGAATCAAGCCCTCTCTCCCTCCCTCGCCCAGATCTACATCACTAGGCCAGGTAGAATAAGCTGACTCAAACAGATCAAGGGATGTGGGTTGACCCTGGAACTGTTGTGGTCCATGTGCCTCAATACCACACTCTCTCGCTCTGTCACGCTTACTACTGAACCAGGGGGAGCCACAAAAAATAACAATTTTCAGGTAGGTAATGAAGGGACCTATCCCCTATTCCTATATAAATCCTGTAGGGTAGTGGTTAGGGCACTCATCTTGTAAGCGAGAGGACCTAGGTTTGATTCCTGGGCAGGGCGAAACCTTAAGCAAGTTTCCTTCCTCCACACGCCTCTGTTTACCGAGCAGCAAGTAGGAACCCGATTGTTAGTCGATTGGCCTGCTCAGTGTAGAATCCTATTCTCCAGTGATGTGGTAAGTGGGCTCCATTCCCTATCTTACATAATCCTTGCATTTGAGTTGCGGAGACCTGTAGCTCGGTGGTTAGAGCACTCGCTTTGCAAGCGAGACACCTGGGTTCAATTCCAGGCAGGGCGAAACCTTGGGCGAGTTTCCTTACTCCACACGCCTAATAATAATCCCTCCAAAAAAAAATAATAAATTGATAATTTTCAATCTACGACTGTTTGGGGACACTGCTGTACCCAATTGGCTGCCACGTTTCGCCCACAAATATATGGTCAATTCACTTTACAGTATATTCTGTGAAGCGCTTTGAGACGTCTAGAAGATGTGAAAAGCGCTATATCAAATGCAAGGATTATTATTATCTCTGCACATGCCTGTGCACAATTGGCTGCTGCATTTCATCTACAAAATATACAGTCAATTCACTTTATGGTATATTCTGTGAAGCTCTTTGAGATGTCTTGAAGACATGCTAAGGCACTATATCAAATGCAATGATTATTATTATAAATGATGCTGATCTACTGATCCTAGTAAGATACCATACGTAAGATCAGCTAAGTTAAGGTACTCCAGCAAAATAACCTGTATGTATACAATCTGTGATCCCCACATGTGATGTTTTTAAATGCTGCTGGCACCACCTGGAGTTATGAATGGAATATTTACAAGATCACAAGATTGGTTTGGATGAATCATCCTTCCAATCTCATACAAAACACGCATCCTTCCATCTCCACATAACTCATCAAGCTACTTTTTAAATGAGTCCAGTGACCTGGTCTTTATCACCCTTTCTTGCAACCTTGTCCAGTCATTGATTACACTCTGTGAAAAGAAGAACATCCTGGTATCTGTCCTAAAATTGCCCTTTACAACTCTAAACGTATGTACCCCTGTTCTACTGTCATATTACATCCTAAAGTAATTATCTGGGTTTACTTTGTCAATCCCATTTAAAATATACCTCTATGAGGTCCCTTCTGAGTGGTCTTTAAAAGCTCCGAGACGCTACCCTGCGTGGATGGAGATATATAAGTGCATGTTGTTGCTTTTGTTGTCTTCTCTCAAGACTGAAGAGCCCTAGCATGCTACGTCATTGCTCACAGCTCATTCCTCTACCACTGGGAACAACATTGTGCCCAATGTGTACAGCACTGAAAAGATGGAGCCAGTTAACCCTCCCTCCTTGTGTGTTTTCCACTCCAATTGTTCCAGCTCCTGCGGGAACATTCTGTATACGTAACCTCTAGACTGTGAATGTAACCCAGCAAATACTCCAGAATATTTATTTGTCCCCACTATCCAACCTGGACTCCTTCCCTTCAGACCACAACACTGCCCTCTAATTGCCCACCTGTCCGCCTGCCCCCAGCAACACAGAAATCATTGGGACCAGTGGAGTGTTTGTCTGTCTCGGGCTGCAACTCTCCCTCTCATATGGCTATTTGTAAACTGCCCCCCAGCTTTGAGCTGAAAAAGTGAAGAGAAAGAAAGACACTTAGCTTGTTCTTGAGCACTACACTACAGACTCTCAAACTGAAACCAGAAGGCTTTTCAAGGACAATCTCCTTTGATATCCTGACATATTGTACCTATTAGTGTTTATGGTTTTGTGTTTTACTGTTATTTTCTATAAGTGAAGTTGGAAGCTCTCTTGCCTCGGAGCGTCTGATCTGTAAGGTATAATCCACCTTCGGCAGTGAATCCGATAGTGTGCATGAATCCTCGTTAAAACACAGTACCACAGGCTTCATTGTCACATAATTGTTAATCCTCTGGCAACTGATAGAGCAGAACACAGACTGCTTTGCTTGTCCCAGGGATAAAGATTCTGCCTGTGGGAACAAGGTCACTGAGCATCAATTTCTTCCACAAACCACTCACTATCTTCCTTGTCATTGAGTCTCCCCCCCCCCCCCCTCCTCTAGTTGTACTCTGAGTCAAGTATTCCCCCCCTCCCCACCTTTACCCGTCATTGTAAAGTTCCCTGAGATATTATTCTATATGAAGTGTGTCCTACAAAGGCAAGTCATGGTTGTTGTTTACTTTGAGCTTCAGGCTCGATTTCCGGACAGAACAAAATCTTAGGCAAGTTTCCCTACTCCACGTGCCCCTGTTTACCTAGTGGTAAGTAGAAACACGGTTGTTAGTCGATTGGCGGATTGTAATATTCCCTCAAACAAAATTGGTCACTCAATCCATGACTGTTTGTGGGAACCTGTGTACGCAATTGACTGCACATTTTGCACACAAATACAGTTAATCTACTTCACAATTCATTCTGTGAAATGCTTTGAGACATTTCAGTGAAGTGGTGAGGCACTATATGAAATGCAAGGATTATTATTATTAAGTCCCTTGTCTTCCCCCCTGTATCGTTCCTGTGAATATAGCTTTCCCCTTTTGATATAGCTCCTTGTCACATCAACAAGATGTCTCAAATCACTTCATAGGATTTATTGTAAAGTGTAGTGACTGAATTTTGTAGTTTATCGCAGTAGCCAATTTGCGCTCAGTAAGTTCCCACAAATTGCTATGGCGTGAACGATCAATTTTGATTGAGGGACTGTTGACAAGGACACCAGGAGGGAAATACCCTACTCTTTTCAAACAATGTTGTAGGATCTTTAATATACATCGAATTAAGCACGTCTCAAGACCCTCCTCTTTGACTGAGCCTTTGACCACGTTCCTACCCCTCGGTTTAATGTCTCATCCAAAGGATGGCTTCTCCAATAACGCAGGACTCCCCCAGCGTTGCATTGGAGTGTCAGCCTAGACTGAGCTGAAACCACACTGGAAAAGACCAGTGATGTGTGGGATCAGAATTAATCTTTAATTTCTCCCATTGGAATGAACAGAAATGTGAAATTAACAGGAAGTTTCTGTCTGACATATGCGATGTAGGTCCACATTTTCATGGTACGCTGATATACTGGCCCACCCCACATTGGCGGTCGGGCCTTCAGGCAATTTGGAACTCCATCCCACAGTCCCTTCACCTTACACTCTCCATTGCCTCCTTCAAGGCATGTCTCAAGACCCTCCTCTTTGACTGCGCCTTTGACCACACTCCTACCCCTACCCTCCCTGCCCTCCACCTCCCATTAACCCAACCCCCAGCTCGGGTCCAAATCCCTGACTGGCCAGCACCTTGGGACGTTCTTCTGACGTAAAAGGTGCAATACAAATATAATTTTTTGTTGTTGTTGTACCCTGAGCATTCCCAGGTGAGGAGTTGGGGCTCTTTGTTACGTGCTGGTTCCCAGGTTGTGCAGCCGGGACATCTGCTATTGATTTTGCTCTGTCAGAATCCCTGATTGTTGCTCATTAAGGAGTATTGTGCTGGGAGCATTTCTGTGTCGTGGTGTGCAGTGCAGGTTGTGTAGAATGTTTCTGTCTGTTGCTAACGCCTGCCAGACGCCAGAACCACCAGGTTATGAAAGGTGCAAACTGGCTTCTGTTATTTTAAAGCTCGTAGGAGAGTCGGGAACAAGCTTCACCTATATTAATAAACCCATTTTATTATCATAGGTGAAGCTTGTGGCAGCTTTTTTACATCCCATTCTCATTGCTCATGGCTCCAGGTTCACATCAAGACTCAGGTATTATTGACTGTTAGTACTGGTGTGTGAGAACTTTAGCATGGGCTGGAGTGTGGCACTCTTATTATACAGTCCCATAATGTTGTGGGTAGTGCGCTCGCCTTGCAAGTGAGAGGACCCGGGTTTGATTCCCGGGCGGGACAAAACCCAAGGCAAGTTGCCTTATTCCACACTCCTCTGTTTACCTTGCAGTAAGTAGGAACCCGGTTGTTAGTCGATTGGAGGATCGCTTTCCAGGGGTAATAATCATTCCAAAAAAAATTACGACTGTTTGTGGGACATTGCTGTGTGCAATTGGCTGCCATGTTTCACCCACATTCAGTTCACTTTACTACATATTCTGTGAAGCACTTTGAGACGTTTCAACGACCTGATAAGGAGCTACATCAAATCTAAGGATTTTTATTATTACTGTAGCACGGGCTGAAGTATGACACACTCAGGGTATAGCACACAGGTAGTAAGGAAGGGCTTTGAGGTGTCTTTTCAACATGACAACATTCTATGTCAAATGTAGGGATTATTAATACTATTAAAATGGCACATGATTGAGGTCAGCTGAACCTATTCAACTCCCCCTCTTCTGCATCTTAAGTTTACTTTCCATTCTCTTTCAGGTAATGGTAAGTGTGTGTCGATGACCTGTATCATTTATAAGTGCAGCGATAAAGGATCGTATCTGGGCTTATGTAAACTCCCAGATGTGCAGCAAGGAGTGGTGGGGATCGGGATTACACAAGGGATATTACCCCCATTGTAACTCACTGGGGGAGAATAAGAGCTTGTCACATTGGCACGGTACAACATATCTGGGGTGGTGATGTTCATCCCTTTCCTTCTCATCTATTCCCACAGGCAGAATTCTCAGAGCTGAACCTGGCAGCATACGTGAACGCCGGATGTATGATTGACATGCAGTTGTTCAGGAACGGGACACGGGTAGTGAGGTAAGACAGCGATACTTGAATCTTCCCCTCACCTGGTGCTCTTTGAGATTATGTTAAAGGTGCATTACAAGTGAAAGTTGTTGTTTTAATTCAGCAGAGCAATTGAGTTCGTGGAGCTGGAGTGCACCAGTGCGGTACTATAATTTGTGGGATGGGGAGTGAGAATACACTGTAACTGTGATATTTGGGGTTGGAGTGTGCACATTGTGTTGTATGGGAAGTTGAGTGTACACAGTGATGTGTGGGGTTGAATTGTGTATTGGGATGAGTGCTTTCTTGCTGAATGCAATGTTAGACTGGGAGTTATGTCAGGAGAATGAGACCATCCAGGTCAGCCTCAGCACAAGCGGATCAGTGAGAAGGTTGTGAACTTGTTGGATCAGCCTGCGGGAACTGTAGGGAGGACTATGCGGCTCACGTTGGAAAAGTACAGCGTGTTTCTTTAAATCTGAAACCCAGCCAAGGGAAGCAAAGGTTTGGAGATTACAAACCAGCCCTTGTGGTGAGGAAAACAATCCTGCTCTGGCCTCAGAGGCTTTACAGAAAAGGGCAACAGCTTGGAAATAAACCAGAATCAGTTTGTTTAAGCTGTTCAGAGTATAATATTTTCTGGTATCTTGAATTTCTCTCTCTTTCCATCATCTGCGCTTCATACTCACCCCGAGTGAAAGCCTGGGCAGAGCTAGGGGTCCACTGTTGCCACTCTCTGACCTGGCACTCCTCAAGCCCCTGCTTGGATTCTGGGACCGCTTGGATATATTTCGTCCACAAATTACATATTCAATCTACTTTACATTATATTCTGTGAAGGGCTTTGAGACATCTCAACAACGTGATTAGGCGCTATATTAAATGCAATTCTTTCCCATTCAACTACTGGTTGGGTTGAACAGAATTGATATCTCGGAGACGACAAGTTAGAAAGCCATTGTTGTGTTCCGAGGATGGATTGAGAAGGGGTCACTGTACAGTGAATCTCTGGTGGCAGCACTGAAAAGATTGTGAAACAAAATCTAGCTCCTCCCAGTCATCTGCTTTCAATTGAAGAAAAATTTGGCAAAACGTGATCTGGTTTTACTCTTGGACTATTTAAGACTTTAATCGTAAAATGGATCGGGGCTGGTTCCTTTTGCAGCTTTTATTGCAATTATATTTTCCTCCTAATGTTCTTCTTCTGACAAACACTTTGCAAAAATAACAGGACAGGATTATTTACTGTAGGAGATTTGGATGGTTGATTATGTACAGGTACTTATCGGTTACAGGGTTTTGGGTTAGAGAATGGGCTATAGAAACAGGAGTTAGAACATTCAGTCCCTCGAGCCTGTTCCGCCATCCTATCATATCATGGCTGATTGTACCTCAACGGCATTTACCTGCCTTTGCTCCATATCCTTTGATACCCTTCCTTAACAATGGGCTGGGTTGTTCAGTTACATATTAGGATGATCTCTATCTCTTTCTATCTGTGTATAATCTGTTGTGAGTCTGTGCATGTTTCTGTGCGTGTTTCTCTGTGTCTGCCTCTTATTTTCTGTCTTGTCTGACTGTGGAGTAGTGTCCTGTATCCTGGAAATTATGTTGAGATGTAAGTAACATCAGGAATCTCAGTCAGATAATAAAGTGCACACGAGACGTGCTCAGAGGCAGGTTGCAGGCTATGTCCTACCCGGTGATGATGTGAGCAGGTGCTAGATGGAGATTAGTTGGTTGGTCCACCAGTGAGGGAAGAGATGAGCCATCGATTAGGGAGGTTGTGGTTGGATTGCGCAAACCTCATACCGACCAATCCTCACCATCGCTCGGGCCAAACCCAGGTGGCATGATCCTCGGCAAGGGAATCACGAGACCCAAAGAAGATCCCGAAAGAGGAGAGTTTGTATCTAACAGAAGTGCCTTTCATAAAATATATATAAATGTTATATAAATAACTGAGCAGCAACGTGTGAACAAAAAGCACAAAGTGTTCTGTTGGGTAAGAGCTGGCTGGTCAGTGAGGCAGCCACAGGATGTGGTTTTTGATCCATGCCAACTTCTGACCCTGCCCAGGAGGAGGCGCTCTAACAAGCACAGCCTTGTGTTGCTGTCAAAGACCAGTGGAGACTTCATTTCCACAGGAATACATGTTAATGATAGTTCCCTTTCTAATCCTACATCGCCTAAGGCACTACGCGAAATACTCAATGGAATTTGTTTCCAATTATGTCTCAGAGACATAGGCTTTCTTTTTGGTCAGTTGGGTATCTGATATGTGTAAAAACTCACCACAATGCCCAAGAGAATCCAAACCAAACTAAGAATTCCACATATATATGTCACCTACAAATGGAACTCACTCTGCTTACCTAAACCCGGAGAGCATTGGTTGCAGTTTGGCGAGAGCTAACGCTTGGAGCCCCCAGAGTGTCTGTTGGGTGTGCTACTGATGTTTAATCAGCTAAAACCACATAGCTTACCACTGAAAGTCAGACAGGCTTTCTGCTGCTAGGACCACCCCACCTATTAGGGCTTTGACTTGCAGGGTTAATGGGAGCCAAGCGAGAAGAATCTCTGTCCCCCATGATTGTCATCAGCAGTGCCTGGTGTCTTGTGGACCTGCCTGTCTCAGGAACCAGACTACTAAGACCACCACAGAGGATTGACTTGATTCCAGCATTCCATTGTGAATTGAGCTCATCTCCAAGGAGACCCCACTTAACCATTTTTACTCTGTATCTCAGCCATGCTGTTCCTGACCTGTAAATATTGGATGGGATGGAATAGAGGGAGCTCCACTCTATTTCTAAGCCATATTGTATCTGACATGAGAATACTGGATGCTGACTCCAGGTGTGAAAAGTGTGGAAGTTTTCCATTATTCAGCGCAGGCATCCTACACCTCTGAGTGAGTATAAAATGTGACCCAAAAGACAACTACTTAAAGCCCATCTGATGTGCTGAGAGTCATAAGCACACACAGATTGGCAGATTAATTTGAAGGGTCGGAAGGGTACCCTTTAGTGTTAGTATTGGTGTGTGTGTGGGGGGAACTGTAAGCACAATTCTAAACTTTTAACAGAGGGGTGTGTGTGTGTTCCTACATTGGCAGAGAAACCATTTTCATTTGCCAAGAAGGCTTTCATCTCCTTTCGAACCTCGTCCCCAGTTGAACGCTCCTTCTGTATGACTCCCAACACAAACAATGGTGTCGCTGTTCAGCTCCGTCCTGCTGCCTTTCCAAATATTTTGCAACTTTCTTCACTGCTGAGCCTTGCTTTTCAAATTCAAAACAAGAATGAGAAAGTCACGCACATTCTCGAGTGAAAGCCTCCCCGCTGTGTGTCCCCTCCCACCGGGTGAGCGCTTGTTTTAGGGCTTCTGTGGGTCCACAACAACAGCAAATAACAACAACAAATTGCATTTATATTGTGCCTTTCATATCAGAAAGATGTCCCAAGGGGCACATGAGGTACACTCGAAAAGGAAGATCTTGAGATTGTCCTTGAAGGAGGCAAGGGAGGTGGCAAATTGGAGGGGCTCCAGGATGAAGTTCCAGAGGATGGGGGCAGAAAACCAGCCCAATTGGAAACCACTCCAGTAGTGCTCCAGCTTAGTAGTTTGTAGTCGGGGGAGGGAGGGAAGTAGATTCTTAACTCTGCTGCTCCTCCCAGCAAGTTGTGGTAGAGGAATTTATAGATCTGGAATGATATCTAGTCAAAGTCCGCAAAAACATTTTATCTTAAAATTGAACATTTTCCACAAACTTGTGAAAAATCCTTATCTTCAGCCTTAATTTGCAAACAGGTTTCCTGTGGTTCTTATAAAAGAAGCTTCCAATTAAGGAGTTTTTCACAGTCTGCAGGATCTAAGACAAAATGGTCTCATTGGCTGAGGCAAGGTCTGGTTGTGTTCAGCTCCCTCCCCCATAGCCCTTTGCTGAGGTTGATGCGATGTTTACACCTGAATACAAAGCAGAGAAGACAAACACAGAGCAACAAACTGACCGTTCGTCATAAAGGAATTCCACAAATCCCTGCTAACCCTAGCCGTGAGCTGGTCTGATCCTGCACAGGGTGCTTGAGATCCAAAGCCAGTAGCGGATCTGCTTAAACATTATACTCTGTGGGTACAGGCGTTCCTTTATGTTTTAAGCAAGTCGGATGCCACACGGTCAGGTGTCACGTGGTCGGATTTCCCATGGTTGGGAATCATGTGATTGAATGTCACACAGTTGGACGTCACCGAGTCAGATCTCATGTGGCCACCTGACACATGGTCAGATATCATGCGGTTGGAGATTAGATAACAACAACTTGCATTTATATAGCACCCTTCAAGCACGGGAGCGTCCTAGAGTGCTCACAGCGGAGTAGTCTATCAATGAGCCAGGGGTCTTTAGGCAGGATTTGAAGATGAGGAGGCAGTTGGGGTACCTAGTTGGGATGTCACACAGACAAATTGATCGCTAGGTGCTCTTGACTGCTGTCGCTGCAATTTGTCAATAGTTTATGCAGATGGATTACTGGGTCCCAGGATGTACTCGCACGGAATGGAAGCGGCACGCAGACAGGCTAAAGGTGCTGGAGCTTAACCGTACAACCTTTCAGAGCCATCGAACAGAGTTCAGTTTTGCTGCCTCCTGTAAGAGTTCTGCTGTGGGGTAAAAAGACTTCAATCTTCAGGAAATAAATGTCATTTACGGGGCGATGCCAGAGTGGGCAATATGACAAGTCCGGTTCTGTTCAAGGAACCCTAGTGAAGCAGCTGTCCTCTCGCTTGTGAGGCGAGTGCTCTAACCGCTATGCTACAGCACATCCGCTTTTGTACCTTCTATAAAGACTCTTTAACCCTGACTCCTGCTGTCAAGTGTATAATTAAGTGAGGCTCGGGCTAGGTTGAGTTGACCTTTAGGACTAGAGCGAGAGGAGTAAAATGAACAACTGCAGACAGTCTTACAAGGAAATGGTGGCAAGGGTGAGCTTGGCTTTTCCTTAGTCAGGAATGCAAAGATAAAACGTTCTCCGGCCTAAGAGGATTGCTGCATCTAAACCTATGCACTGGGTGCCAGTCAACCTCACTGGCAGGCACCAATCCTCCCAATTATGTTGCTTAATGAATGTTTCATTGTATTGCACTCACCCTGTAGCGTTGATGTCTGTCAGATTAGGGTGTCCTTTCTGTCACAACATGTTCTCGCTTATGTGGGACTGGTGTTTTCTACATGACCTTCCAGATGCTTGATTGTTCACCACCCTGATACATTTTTATGTTGTTTTTTCCATTGCCTCTTTATTGCAGTGTCGTATTCCGTGGAATGACTGTGCGTGGGGCTGGGTTCTCAGACACTACAACAGACACTATGCAACACAATCAGAATTTGTCAAATTCCTCCCATACTTTAAAGGGTGAATTTGGAAAGGAAAAGCTGAGGAGATAGCAGAAAGGCCGTGGATTTGGGGAATAAGCTACAGCCCAGGCTTTGGGATAGAGTGGCGGTGAACTTCCACCCCACCAATGGGGCAGGCACAGGCTTCAGTGTCCCTGGCCGAGGGGACATCAGACAGGGTTTTCATTGGTCATTTCGCCCATAAATTACGCAGTCAATTCATTTAACACTACATTCTTTGAAGCCCTTTGAGTTGTCTCAACGCCGTGATAAGGCTCTATATCAAACGCAGGTATTATTGTTTTTAATAGGGTTTTGCCAGCGCTTCCTGACGAATAGAAAATCTATGAGTGAAACAATACAACAAGAAAGATGTTGGTGTAGAGTTGTGAGGAACAATTTCTGGCAGGATACCAGGAAGTTATTCTTTACTCAGAGGATAAATCAAGGACTGGAACAGGTTCCTTCGGATGAGATGTTAAACCAACGTCTCGTCTACCTGTTCAGGTGGACGATAAACATCCCAGGCACTATTCAAAGAGAGAAGGGAGTTTTTCCTGGTGTCCTGGCCAACAATCCCCAAAATAAAATTGTCATTCTGTTTTTGGGACAACTTGGCTGGCCTGATCACCTACAAATACCTAGTCACTTCACATTAAAATCCTGTGAAGAGCTTTGTGTTGTCTGGATGACATCATAACACACTAGATCAAATGGAAGGATGATTATTATATATTGATGCCGCTGGCTCAGGTTGGAGTGAAACTAGCAAAATGGAGAGCTGCGGAGATGCACCAGTGAGGAGAGATAGTGGAGAAGGATGGAGTAGTCAATGGTGTCAAAGGCGGTGAAGTGATTGAGGAGTCCTTGTTGCAGACAATGACGATAATATAAGGCACACTAATATCTCACAACTGAGACACTCAGAGAGGGCTTTCAGGATGTGGACTGCCACACTGAAAGCAGTGTTTGAACCAAAATCAATATTCGTTGAATGACCTCCTCGATGGGCTGTAAAAACCTGTAGTTCTATAATTTTCTATTCCTAATGATGCCAATATCTCCCTTAAGTACATTCAGTAAGTTTTCCCTCCCCTTTAGATCTGTGTTATTATCTAAACAGCAGAAATGTTTGACCCAGTCCTAGGTTAGAACAACCCTGCTTTGCTCTTCAGAAGCCTCAGAACTCTTTAATAGTAATCCATTAAAAGAGCCATCACTCTTCTTGCCTGCAGAGAATTCAGAGTATGAGTACCAGCTCTAATGCCTTGTAGCTTACTTTCACTCCGTTGGTCCCCTGTTCTAATAACATCTTGTTTTATTTGTGAGTAAGCCATGAAGTGTTGTGAATGGTTCTCCTGTGTTCTTGTTGCAGGTCCTTCAAGCCTGACTTTGTCCTGATTCGGCAATATGCCTACAACATGGCTCAGGGCGAGGACTACCGTAATCTTATCGTCGGCCTGCAATACGGCAAGGTGCCTACTCTCAACTCCCTCCAGTCCATCTACAACTTCTGTAACAAGCCATGGATGGTGAGTATTGGCACAGTGACTCATTTCCCCTGTACAGGAGCAGCTGGCAACACTCCTCAATGCTCTGAAGAGTGACAACGGATAAGGATTGAGGTCCAGTGGCTTTTATGATAGCTGGAAGACAATTACACTCCACACTGTGCTAGTACGGTGCCAGCAAAGACATTGTGGAGTCCTGTAGCTCAGTGGTTAGAGCACTCGCTTTGCAAGCGAGAGACCTGAGTTCAATTCCAGACAGGGCGAAACCTTGGGCAAGTTTCCTTACTCCACACGCCTAATAATAATCCCTCCAAATCCAAAAACAATAATAAATTGGTCATTTTCAATCTACGACTGTTTGTGGGACATTGCTGTGCGCAATTGGCTGCTACGTTCGCCCACAAATATACAGTCAATTCACTTTACAGTGTGTTCTGTGAAGCGCTTTGGGACGTCCTCCTGACGTGAAAAGCGCTATATCAAATGCAAGGATTATTATTATTATTATTATTGATTCTGTAGCCTGCAGAAGTTGAATCTTTAGTACACTTGCCTTTAGTACCTGGCTTTTAGTAGCACGGCCTTTAGCGTGTAATGATTCTGAATCCAAAACACAAGTGTATTAAATAAATTATTTCATTCTCTGTTGCAACTACACACCCACACCAGTTGTTCTCACTGTATCCCTTTTTAGACTTCCTGGTCTTCCTTCATTGGTTTCCAGTTAATTGTTTATTTACTCCGAAAAGGTTATCTAACATTTAGTACCCTGGCCTTTAATACTCTGGCTGCAGGTTGCTGTATATAGCAGGTACAACTCTGGAATACTCTCCCTCAATCCCTCCGCTTTGCCCCCTCTCTCCCCTTTTTCAATTCCTGCCTGAAAACCTTGCTTTTCGACCATGCTTATGGCTGCTCCCCAACCACCCCCTCCATCCCACCCCACCCCCGGCTCAGAATCAGGTTCCGCCACTGTTAAGCACTCTGAGACGCTACACTGCATGGAGGGTGCTATATAAGTGCAAGTTGTTGTTGTTGTTGTGTAGCTTGGATTTCAGAATCAAATGTTCCAAGTAAAATACGCTCAATTCAGCTGTGAAATTTGCCAACATGCACAGTTGTTTATGGACTGGACCTTCACCCTGAGAGCTTGGATGATGCCAGTTGGAGTGGAACAGGGAGATGTGCAGTGGCACTTAATGCCCGAGGCACACAGCTGGCTCCCAGGACGGTGTCTGGACTTTTAATAACTTACTGCTCCTGTACAGTTGGAATAAATGGGTGAAGGGGACATTCTCCACACTGCAGAGCTGTACCCAATCAGACTTTTATTGCCATGTCGCAGTTAGTTACAACTGTGAGGTCCTACACTACTGCATATGGTTAAACTCAGTAATGAGCCCAGCTCTGCATGAGTAATGTGGCAGGTCCTGAGAACAGGCTTTGTGTAATTGGCTCTCAGTAATGGAATTAGGACTGCCTGGAGCACTTCATTTCACCACACTGCAAAGAAGATTGTTGTGTTTCTTTAACTAGGTTTACAGCTGAGTGCATTTAACCCTTTGATCTCCATAGATGTTGTGGGAAACAGCTGCTTAAACCCGTTCAGTTTGAAACTAAAATGCTCTTCATGGTTGCGGAATGGCTGTGGTAAATGTCCTGTGATGTAGGTGATGAAATCCAGTCTCAGATCTTTAGTTTGTCTCTCAGTGCTAGAGGGGTCCAGGCTTTCTCTCTCGGTGCTGGTGATACCATTGATTAGACCTGTTACTGGTCCACCCTCCCCCAAAGAGCAGATCTAGTGTACCAACTACATCTATACAAGATGTAAAGTAACCAGCAGCTATTGTTTTGGTTCCAGATCACTGAGGAATCCTAGAATTATAAGACGTAATGCTTATATAGCACTCGCAGAGAACTGTACCTTTCCAGCTAGGACCAAACACCCCGTTGGAGCTTCTAAGCTGTGACCATTCACTAGCAGAATAAGCTGGTCATTTTTGGATTCCTGCAGGATATCAAGGGAAATGGAGCAAAGGCAGGTAATTGGAGTTGAGGTACATATCAACCATGATCTAATAGAATGGTGGAACAGGCTCAAGGGGTTAATGGCCTACTCTTGTTCCTATGAGCTTTTCAGAGATTGTTCATCTCCAGGGATATCTGGGTCCACCTTCCCCAGCACCACTCTCCCCCCAAAGAGCAGACTTTTAGATGTGGAGCAATTCACTGTTTGCAGATCTCATGATATAAGATCCATAATGTGGACAATAACCTTACCTCACACATTTAGGCTTGTGGTTACCGCCAGTGTAGCATTTCCATTCCCCACACCAGCCAAACTTGTGGTGTCTCAGCTCGCAAATCAAAATGTGAACGGTTTTCTGTGTTAGATTCACAGGCTGGACACAAAGGACTATCGCAGTCAACAGAGAAAGAATGAGAATCACAGAGAGAGAGACTTCAATTCCCATCAATTTGGTCTGGGTTGAGCCTCGTGTTTGAGAGATAAAAGCCTGAGAGTCATTTTTAATTAAAGAAAATATTTCTTTCCCATCTTAAACCATTTAAATCAGGCCCTTAACATTTCCGCCGGCAGCAGAGAGCGACCGCTCGTGTTCTGCCTTCAAAGAAACCAGAGCTTGAGCGGCTCCACTGCTGTAAGAGAAGCTGTCAGCGGCTTAGCCAGCTGCATAATCCCATCATTTCAAATTTGTGGAATGTTTTTAAGAGGCTTTTCATTTTTTTTCTATTCCTAAAGTTCTAACTTTAAACTAAAATGATATCTGAGCTGTGTCTTGTAAGCTAGGCAGATGCTCCGGACTAAATAAAACCATTTTTGTTATTTATTTTGATGTGTGCCTTTGTTTGCTTGTCTCTCAGTCTGAGTGTCTGTGTGTGTGTTTGCCCGTGTATGTGTGTGAGTATGTATTTGTGTGAATGTGTGAATGTGTATGGTGTGTGTATGGTCATATTTTGTCCCTATGTCAATATGCTTTTGTTTTAGTGTAATTGTGTTTCTTTGTCTGTCTGTCTGTATGTGTGTATTCCTCTGTCTCCTTATAAGTGAGTTTGTAATGTTTGCAATTGTCAGATGTGCATTTCTGTGTGTGCCTATGTGTTTGCATGTTTCTGTGCGTCTATGTACGTGTGACATATGAGGGTTAGGACAGATTTATTTTTAACTTTTAGTTCTGAAACTATTCCAGGAACATACTGACATCCAGATTATTGATAACGTTTCTTTATTAAGATTAAAGACTCATTTGTTTCCTGCAGTGGGCCCCACTGGAGACTGGCCAACCTTCTTAAGCTCGCCTCTTCATTTCAGCACTTCAACATCTATAAACATCTTTTTATAATGCAATAAGTACTAATTCTAACTTGGAATAAAGAGCCTGGAAAGGGAAAGTGCCTCAGTGACATTAGCAACAGGAGTGAGCCCGAAATGTCAGATTAATAATAGTTATAATATAATAATAATAATCTTTGCATTTGATATAGTGCTTTTCACATCTTCTAGACATCTCAAAGCGCTTTACAGAATATATTGTAAAGTGAATTGACTGTGTATTTGTGGACGAAACACGGCAGCCAATTGCGCACAGCAGTGTCCCACAAACAGTCGTGGATTGAAAATGACCAATTTATTATTGTTTTGTTTTGGAGGGATTATTATTAAGCATGTGGAGTAAGGAAACTTGGCCAAGGTTTTGGCCTGCCTGGAATTGAACCCAGGTGCCCCGAGGAGGAGGAGCGTGGGCGAGGAGGGGGGGCGCGCGGGCGAGGAGGGGGGGCGCGCGGGCGAGGAGGGGGGGCGCGCGGGCGAGGAGGGGGGGCGCGCGGGCGAGGAGGGGGGGCGCCGGGCGAGGAGGGGGGCGCGCGGGCGAGGAGGGGGGGCGCGCGGGCGAGGAGGGGGGCGCGGGCGAGGAGGGGGGGCGCGCGGGCGAGGAGGGGGGGGGCGCGCGGGCGAGGAGGGGGGGCGCGCGGGCGAGGAGGGGGGGCGCGCGGGCGAGGAGGGGGGGCGCGCGGGCGAGAAAGGGGCCATGGGCGAGGGGGGGTTGCGGGGGGGAGGTGGGCGAGCAGGGGAGTCCCGTGGGCGAGTAGGGAGCTGGCTCTCTCTTTGGAGGGTGAAGACATGCAGTTAAGACTTGGCTAACATGTGCCCTTCTCTTGCAGTTCTCCCATCTGATAAAGATTCAGCAGTCGCTGGGTGCGGAGAAGTTCCCGCTGATCGACCAGACCTTCTTCCCCAACCACAAGGAGATGGTGAGTGTTGCCAGCACTGGCTCTCTGAGAGCTCAGCACTCAGAGCCACTACGTTGTACTTACTAACGGGCAGGAGAAATGGTGACCTTTGCTGAATCACTCTGGCTTTTCCTCCAGTTTTACTGAGCCTGGTTGATTCTCCAGAGTGCTGCTCTTAAGCCCACACATGTTTGCGCTTTTAGTTTAGTCTAAATGTGGATTTATTTTTTGACTTTGCTCGTCAAAACATACCCAAGGTCGCATTTTTCTTTTGCGTTCACATCTGGGCAGCAACAAATAAAGCCTGAGTTAAAGGGATGTCTCAGCCACACTCGGTCGCTTCAGCGGCCTGCTCAGGGTGGTTGGGATGGTGATGAGAAGGGAGCAATTGGCATTGGGGTCCTGGAGCATATTCATTAGAGCACTCGCCTCGCAAGCGAGAGGACACAGGTTCGATTCCCAGGCAGGGTGAAACCTTAGGCAAGATTCCTTATTCCATACGCCTCTGTTTACCTAGCAGTAAATAGGAACCTGGTTGTTGGTTCGCTTTTCTGGAGGTAATAAACCTTTCAAAATAAATAAAATAACAAGCATTTGGTCACTCAATCCACTTCTATTTGTGGGACCCTGCTGTGCGCAACTGGCTTCCGTTTTTTGCCCACAACAGTATATCAACAACATGATAAGGCATTATGTCAAATGCAAGGATTATTATTGCTATTGGCTACATTGGCTGCTATGAAAGTTGATAGCAATAGCAGGTGAGATATCAGCTGCTGTGCAGAGGCGAAAACAGTTCCCCTTTAAGAGCTCCAGAGGAGAGGATGCTAGCAGGGACGTGCTGACTGGGGTGAAGCTGGCAGACATTCAGATCTAACTTGGACATCAACATTGCTGCTTTGGAATATGGTGCAGTGAATCATGCGACTCAAAGCAATGTTAAGCACCGGACTCGTGCTGCAGAGCTGGGTTCTTGGTGAACAGCTGGCTGGCTGGCTCACTGGAGGGTGAATGTATGTGTTGAGTTAAGACCTGGCTGACGAGTGCCCTTCTCTTGCCACGTTAAGCACTGTGAGTGAATCCACATCGTGGGGACCAGTTCAGGTTCAATGAGCACCTGAAACCAGCCAACTGTCCTCCCTTCTCCAATAAATAATTAGCTCCTAATATTTTCCAGAGTGAGACTTGTGTTCTCTTGTGTCGAACCATATGGCAACTTTTAGCCCATTATCTGGGGTTCTTCCTCTAGTGTTGCCGAGCTTTGATCATGCCGAGCCTATCCGGGCACCAATGTGCATCTGATTTCCCCCTGTATACAGAGAGCTCCACTTCTTCCTCTCACAAACTGGAACCAACAGCAAGCTAGGTATTGAGGGATAGTGGGGGAATCACTGTATTAGAGCTTTGGATCAGATGGTTCGTATGGAAATCACAACACAAAAGGGTTGGAAAAGAAAGAGACTGAAGTCAAGTTACTGTGGTAGAAACCAAAGCACTTTTACTGCTTAAGAGTAGAGGACACTGTAAAAGTGACGTACGAAAAGTTACATTTGAAAAGACCATATACATTCATGGAATATAAAATTCATAAATAAACAGAGAAATCTGCTCACAGTGCTGCAAAACAAGAGTTAGCGACAAGTACATTCCATCCAGACAGCTGTGATTTCTCCCCACATCCTTCTACTCCTCCTAGTAACCCTCCACTCCTAGCCCCCTCCCCCCCCCCCCCCCCCGCACAGCTCCCCTCTCCCATGCCTGCTGCAGGGTCTGTGACAAGCAAACACTGAGTACAGGCACTTGCATGAATCAGGCAATGGTACAGGCAAGCAATTCTTTACATAGAGTGATACAGGCACGGAATCAGGGCATTTGGCCCAGCTCGGCTGTGCCGGTAACTCTTTCTGGAGCTGAATCAGGAGGACGGTCTTTTATTTTGACGTCAAACGGCTTATTGAAAGAGCTTTGTTTTGTTCCCCATCTGTGTTCAACGTGTCGCGTAAAACCAACATGGACAACTCTACAATCTAGACGTGCGACAGAATTTGTTTTCAAACAGTGAATGCACGTTAGCTGTGAAGATGGAATGACCAGTCATATGTAATTGTACTGACTAAAAGATAGCTTATGTCACTAGTCGACTTTTTTTTAAAAAATATTGTTAACATATAGGTATGTGTGTTTTCTGTTCTTGCAAAAATGTTTCAGTTGAAAATTTTCATCACTTCTGGGAGGGGGAGATTGGAATTTTTAGTTCCTGGGCAAGGAAGGTGCATAAACCTGAGGTGTGGGATGGGTCAGTGGGAGTACTTTTTTTTATCCACATGGCAGAGGAATGGGAGGTTTACTTGCTGATTCATTTCAGCACAGGTAAGAGTATGCTGATCTGTTCTGCAGTTATACCAGTCAGGCTGTCTCTGTTGAGTGACAGCAGGATTTAACTCATAGGATGTGTCCAAGTGCCCTGGCCTCCACAATGATGGCATATGCGGAGACAGGGAATGCAGCCCATTTGCCACATCACTGGAGAATAGGATTCTACACTGAGCAGGCTCTATCACACAAATCTTTCTGTGGTGCCTCACAGTGTGAAGATAAAGTGAAAAGAACACTGTTCTTAGTGATCAGGGAAAGATAGACCCCAATCCCTGCTGCCAGGGTCTTAAAGCAAAAATAAACAGGAGTACAGGAGGACTGATAGACAAGTGCATAAGAGACCTCCTATAGTAAAGGACAGGAATATGCGGCAATTGACAAGAATAGACCTTCTGTCTGCCCCATGTTCTTCAGGTTAGAGGGTTTCACTGCACTGGATTGCTGATCAATAGGTCTATTCAGCATTTTCTTAAATGCATCCTGGCATCAAATGGTTAGTACTTTTTTTTGAAAATGAATCCATGCAAATTATTTGGAAAGAATATGACAAAATGCAACAACTTCTGCCTCCCTCTCTCTCAGTCCCATTCTCTTTCTCCCATTCTCTCTTTCTTTCTCTCTTGCTCTCACTCACTCACTCACTCACTCACTCACTCACTCACTCACTCACTCACTCACTCACTCACTCACTCAATTACTCACTCACTTGTGAGTCCTCCCGACGTGAAAGGCGCTCTATAAATGGAATCTTGTTGTTGTGTCTCACTCTCTGTCTCTCTCTCTCTCACACAAATATTGAAATTTCCTGAAACATTTCAGTCTCAAAGCTTTTGCTGCACATTGGGCACACCCGTACCTTGTTTACAAAGGGCAGTAGCAGTTAGCTATGGCACAAGACACTGCAATATTAAAATATATAAAGCTCTATGATATATCTGTTACTGTGAGGAGCACGGCAGACGCAATGTCGATTGGTGATGGAGCACAAGACCACCCAACTAGTGGAGGGGTGGGGGGAGGAGGGGAAAGGGATCCAAGACTAACTCTGAGGAAACAGTAAGATGGTGGAGAGTCTGTGTTTGATGTGATAACTCTGGGAGGAGACAGGCACGAGAGCCATCGTGGCTGTGTGATACACGATGGTCGTCCTGCATTGGCCAGCGTTTGCTCAGGGAAGGGGAGTCTCTCAGGGGTCCGTGTTGTTGATCCTGGTCCTGTCTGGAGGAGCAGCTCCTCTGTACCAGCTACAGTAGCCTTCCTTTTGCTGGATGCAGGTGTAGTGTTTGGCCTGGTGACCGATGTAGCCCTGGCCAGATGTCATGTCAGTCCAGAGACACTCGTTCTTTGCGGTGACAAAGCATGGCAGGTAGTAGCAGGGCTTAATCTGTGGAGAGATGCCAGCCAGGCAGAGACTCGAATTAAACCATCTTCACACTCAACAAAACATTCAACTTCCCATTCAGCCGAGATATTAATAATAATAATCCTTGCATTTGATATAGGCCTTTTCACGTCACTGAGATGTCTCAAAGCACTTCACAGAATATATGTTTTGCCCACAAAATATACAGTCAATTCACTTTACAGTATATTCTGTGAAGCACTTTGAGACGCCTTGAAGACATGACATTTTGTCGGTATCTCCCATTGGAGGTGGACTTACTGAGCTCGGGAGGGGGAGGTAGTTAGGTTAGTATCAATCGAGATGCAGTGAACTTCGTGTATCAGTGGAGATACAGCCAGTAAAATGGGTGTAAAATGGACAGAGCCCAGCAGTGAGGGAGCTGGATTGCAGTCAGCAGGGCCCAGTTGGTTATGCACAGAGCAGGGAGCAGGCAGAAGGGAGTCACTCAGCCTGATAGTGATAGGGAGCTGGATTGAAGTCAGCAGAGACACAGCCAGTTATGTAGTGTGCGGGTGGGAGCAGTTACTGTGGAGATGGTGCCGTGGGGATGAGCATGTACTTACCCTGCAGTTGCAACCAAGTCGATAGCGATGATTCAGCCCCTTGCGCTGGGACAGGGTCAGCCTGTCCCATGGCATGATGAGGTTACACACTCCTGTGTAGACTTTCCCGTCGTACACTCCGCCTGTGGGCAGACATGTGAATCACAGTCAATCTCACTCGTTCATTCGCCACGCTCACAGAACTGTTTTTCCATCTCGTGCCGACCTACAGTGCAACTTGTAATGGCTTGCGGTGAGGTTAAAAACAAGAGGGCATGAATACAAGATAACTAGGAGAAGATCTAATAGGGAGTTAAGGAGGGCAGACTGTGGGAGGAAGACCAAGTGGAGGAAGACCGAGGGAGAGAAGACAGAGGGAGAGGAGTGGCGAGAAGCTTGTGTCACTTTCATTGTCAGGATAATCAGCTGGTCATCACTGTCAGGCCTGAGTATGATGCCTATCTAGTTGGGATATATTGTAGGGAAGTCAGAGACTGTGGGAAGTGTACTCAGGAGAGGAGGGGAAATCCCTGGAAAGTGTTGTTTCAAATTTGCAAGATGTCTTTCCAGAAGAGCTCTGGAAGCCAGCACATGCTCCAGAATTGTTTTCCAACCACCCGTGTGGTGCGACTGCTCCTCACCTGTGATCAAGTACTGGAACTTGTTGACCTCAAGTCTCACACCGCACAGGCTCTCTGACGCTTCAGTGTAGATGTACTGGACCTGCTGCACCTTATTGAAGCCACGATACATCTGCAGAGGTGAAGAAAGAAGCCATTGGGAATCACTGGTTGAACACTTTTATATTGCCATTCAATATTTGATATTGAGATCTGGGCAAGTACAGCACGTGAATCGCAGACCTGCGGCTAGGAGCAATCGCCAATAACGTCTGTATTTTGTGCAATTGGCACAAAAGGTTTCAGTTCGGGAGAAGGAGCCTGTATTTGGCTCCTGCTCTGACACAGGCTGCAATGTGGAGTTAAGTGTGGTGGAGTTGGTGCATCGAATGACCCTATTATCAGGGCTTGTATCACTGTACATGTGCTCACCCTCTTCCACCAGGTTTCAGTCCTCTCAAGCTTGTGTAATTTGACAGCCTTTGAATGTATTCTGAGCTTGAGCAGGATTGTTTTTGATAACTGTTTTCGGGGCCTTGCTGTAAATGGCAATAGCTTTGGTCAGCAAAGACATCACGCGCAATTCCAATTGACAAGATGCAGCATTCAACTCTGGTGTTCTGAGAACAGTGTTCCATTCCCAACCTGTCCACTCCCTACCAATGTCAATGCTGCTCCAGTCCTATGTCTTGTTCCTTCAGACACATTGCCAGCTCTACTTTCCAAAAGGATGGGATTCATTCCTCTCAGGTCAGTGAATGGGACATTGTACAATTTTTTTACTTCAGAATCTTTACTTCATAAACCTCTTTGTGGGACTGGGAGAATAATTCCGCTCCATTTTTTTTTCAAATCTCCAGCACAAAATAATTCTGCTGAGCATATACCTGCGAGAGAAAAGGCTTTCAAACAGTGAGAGAGGGTTAGATACACATTCACGGTCAGGCTGTCTGCCCTCACGCTGTTGATCTATTTCTGACTTTCATCTCAGTGCCACCTCCTGTACGTCCACAGTAGACACTGGGTAAAAAGGGAACGATTGTCCACTGTCTGGTTATTGTATGGCTCAAGCATTTCTGTGTCGGGTACTATACATGCACAGTACACGCCAGACAAATGCGAGCTGCTCACTTCTTGCCTGGACCTGTGTGACTTATGTGTGTCTCAGTGTCAGCTCTTGTACACATACAGTATACTCCGAGTTTAAGGGAATGTATCTTTCGAGTCCAGTTATAATAACCTTACATCTCTGTGATCCAGCTCAAGCTCGCAATCAAATTCCTTGCAATATTCAGCTGGAACGGAGGTACCCCACTTACCTTCATCTGTTTGACAGTGTAACGCATTGTGCCAAAGGGACCATCTTTCAGCAGCTTCTTCCCCACCACCTTGGCCCGGATCACTGTAAGACAGAGAACAAACTGGGGGTAATTCAGTGTGGCACCAAGCTTTACCTGTTCGCAGAACTGGTGTCAGCCTACAGGAGTAGGGGAACATTCACTGAGCACTGAGCTTCCCAGGAATCTCCATTAACCTTCACATTCATTCCACTAATCTCACTCCTGTAGAGTGGTTGTTAGCACCCTCACCTAACCTGGGTTTGATTCCCGGGTGGGGTGAAACCTCAGGCAAGTTTCCTTACTCCACATGTCGCTGTTTACCTAGCAGTAAGTAGGAACCCGGTTGCCAGTCGATTAAGGATCACTTTCCAGGAATAATAATCTCTAGAAACCACCACTGTTTGTAGGACACTGCTGTGTGCAAATGGCTGCTGCGTTTCACCCACAAAATACACAGTCACAACACTTTACAATATATTCTGTGAAGCACTTTGAGAAGGGATAAGGGTCTATATGAAACGCAAGGATTCTTCTTATATTATTATTATTAACTTTACAGCACTGACCTAACAAGACTCTGATCAATAACAGTATTTGTATTTGATGTAGTGCCTCAGTGTCTGCTTTACAGAATGAGTTACAAAGGCTTTGTAATTTGCACGTTGCTCTGAGAGCTGGTGTAGAATCGATGGGCTGAATGGCCTCCACCTGTGCTAGAAATTACCACGATTCAGAAAATGTGTGTGTGTGTGTGTGGGGTGGGGGGGTTGTGGGTTACATGTTGTAATTCGTACAAGCAACATTATATAGACTCATTGCAACACACTGAAGAGGCGTTATACAAAAGGCATCTTCAAATTCACCTTATACTGAAATGGTGTTGGTAAAGACACTCCTCCACCCCATGACCAAACTGGCACCTATACAATAAGATGCCACGTCAAATGCAACATTGGCTGCAGATTTTCATACCATATTAACTGTTCTGAAGTCATAATTGGCGCTGAGCAGCTCAGGCTAATTCCTATGCTGTGCCTCTCTTGCCCTCAGTTCCAACGTCCAGGTGTTTGGTTGGCTTACAGATCATTACTGGAGCTTCACATTGTTTAGTCTGCAGCAAAATCAAGGGGCTCTTGTTCCCCACCAGCCAACCAGCAATCCAGCGTAGATAGATAGCATCAGAGTGACTGAGCTGGAACTGTCACGCTAGATGAAGCGAGAATGACAGAAAAAAACACATCAATTTAAATTGTTTCTCCTGACTTGTCATACGGGGTTGCTTTGAGCTTATCTGTGAAGAGCAGTCTCAGGTCAGGGTGTTCAACTTGTTTGTTTTGCTTTCTTTCAACTGGAATCTGACGTTAAGGTTCCAGTGGTTGAAAATATTTGAGGGAAGCAGATGAATTCCGCAGCACACCGAGCAAGGTCAGTGCCTAGAGCGGTCATGAAGGTGGTCTGGTTTGACACACAGTCAAGCTCCAGCCCCTGATTTCAGCCCCAGCACCTTTCCCTACTGTACTCCAGAGCACTGCTTATGACAGCACAGCCAGCCTGGCTCATTGGCAGGACTCGCACCACCCAGGAATCAAAGCCGGGTTTGGTGAGGGTGCTAACAAACATGCTACAGGTGTCCTGAGGTTAGTGGCACGAAGGTGAAGGTTAGTGAAGATTCCTGGGAAGCTCAGTGCTCAGTAAATGGGGCAGGTAATCCTCCCACTGGGGCAGGTAATCCAGTCACGGGGCAGGTAATCCTCCCACGCAGTTCCTGTTGACCCTGCAAGTCAAAGCCCTAACAGGTAGGGTGGTCCAATTTGGACAAGTAGCAGGAAAGTTTGCCAGACAGCAATATCAATGACAAGCTCTGCAGTTTTAGCTCTGTGGTTGGACTCTAACAGTTCCCCAATGCACACTCTGGGGTCCCCAAGTCTTGGCTCTTGTCAACCTGCGCCTAATATTTTCTGGAAATAGGTAAACAGGTCCTCCAGGGAGAGAGTGCGCATTCCATTCCAGGAATCTATCTCTGGAATTTCCATGTGTAGGTGGGATGCGTGGAATTCTCAATTTGGTTCGGATACCCTTAAGCATGTTGATGGGTTTCCGCATGTGTCAAGACACTCGGCTGACCCCAAAATAAATCCTCGCCTTTGTCCCGAGCTTCAGGTCCTGTCTCCAGCCCAGCCCCTCGCCTCTGCTGAGGGTGCAATGCTGGTGCTTTGCCATTTTCAGGCAAGCCAGCGAGATGGTGCCTGTTCACCTCTCTGTGCTCAGTGCTTGCTACTGCATTTAGCAAAAAGGAAAGGTTGAAAGGAAGGACGGGCTGATCGATGGCGGTAAGTGAGTGAATAAATGAGAGGGGGCCTGTATGTCACCTACTCCATATCATCAGTGAGTGCAGGTACAAGCAGACAATTAGAAAAGCCTCTTTGGTAAACAATACTGCGTGTAACTTGTAACCGCAGCTCTTTGAGAGGCTCAAACCACAGCATCCAGCCGCCCACAAACACAATTTTCAAACTCTAATGAACCTTGTAACGTACGCTAGTGGCTTGTTGTTGGACAGAACTTGAGAGATGCCATCTCCAGTCAACCTCTCTCCCACTCAGGCGGGCTCAGCCAGATAGCAGTGCACAGGGTTATTAGCTCTGCACTGGAAGCATGTGTGCTATTCACCCGATGAGTAATCTGCCTTTATTGGCACCCTCTCGCCTCACTCCATTGCTCGCAGGCTCTCTCGCTCTCTGTTTCTCCACAAGACTATATATGGTAAGGGCGCGAGTCCACCCTGCACCATACTAATACTATAAATTCAGCTGGCCATCTTCCATTAGCCGGTGTCTGGGCTCATACGAGTTTTTTATGCAGTGTTTCACTGCTCAATCTTGTGTGCTCCGAGCAGCGAAAGAGAGGATTAAAATAAAAAGAATCCTTGCATTTGGCCTCATCACATTGTCAATATGTCTCAAAGTGTTTTACATAATATACCATAATTGTCACTGACTATTTTGTGGGTGAAACGCGGCAACCAATTGCACAAACAGTCGTGGATTGAGTGGCTCAATTATAATTATTTTTCTTTTTGAATGGATTATTAACCCCCAGAAAGTGATGTGCCAATCGACTAACATCTGATGTTCTACTTACTGCTAGGTAAACAGAGGCGTGTGAAGTAAGGAAACATGTCTAAGGTTTTGCCCTGCCCGGGAAACATACCCAGGTCCTCTCGCTTACAAGGCAAGTGCGGTAACCACTATGCTACTGGACTCCACAATGAACACCTCTGACCAGTTATCTATTCCCCCCACCCCCTTCCCTGAATTGACCCTCTTCCTTAAATGAAAATGTAGATTTGTGCGAATTACAGGCAATGGATGGGATTGAATTTAAAAAAAAACATCAGAGACTGTGTCAGGGAATCAAGTGGGGGTCATAATATTCCTTTTCTTCTGGATTTTTACTGATCAGAAAGAATCTACCTCTGTGACAACAGTAAAAGTTCAAGGAACATAAGGGGACACAAAATCAGGGAGCGGGCAGCACAGAGGTGGAGTGTGTGTGGGTTTGGGTGGTGCAGGGTGGGTTAGAGGGAAAACCATGCAGACCAGGAGACTGGGATGAAACTGATTTATTGTAACAGAATTTGGTCTCTGTGGGCACAATTTGTTCCCTGTGTCCATGGTTTATACATGGTGCATAATAGCCCCCCCCCACCCACTGACAGGGAGCAAAGTGTTGCTGCCCCACGGTCCATGTTGAGGCTTATAACTGAGGCAGGGACTGGTTACCGGTACAGCTGAACCTGGAGGAGACTTTTCTCAGACAGACTGGTTGAGCTGCCCCAAATGGCTAGACTTGCTTTAATACATCCCCAATGGTCGATACATTTTGCCCACAAAATACAGTCAATTCACTTCACAGTATGTTCTGTGAAGCACTGTGAGATGTCTCAAAAGACCACAAAAAGCTTTATAAATAATGTCCAGCGGCACTTTCATGTGGTTAGGGGCTGAAGGTGTCATAACATTAGAGAATGTCTTTTCCGACCAAGTGCCTGTCACAACCAAGGGAACATTGCAGAAAGTGACTCCAAGTCCTCAGAGATGATGGGGGGAAAAGATCTTCCCCCTCCCCCAGGTTTGGTTCCCTCTGCACAGGTTCATTGCAAACAATGAGAAACGGCCATTGGGCCAATGGAGCTGGCTGCTCTCTGAGTGAGATGTCTAGTTTAACACCAGTACCCTTTCTGTATCTGTGCCCCATGGAGGAGATTATCATAAAAATATATCTACAATACAGAAGGAGGCCATTCAGCCCATCGAGTTCACACTGACTCACAGAACAGGAAATCAATTCAATCCAACTGCCCACCTTTTCCTCTTACATCTTCAAGTCCCTCTTAGCCCCTCAGTTCCACCAGCACCTTGGGACGTCCTCCCGACGTGAAAGGCGCTCTATAAATGCAATCTTGTTGTTGTATATGTCCAGTGGTGCTTTGGAGAATGGGCCTTTTTGCCATGACAGAAATGACCCATGCTTTAAAGAACAGGAGTTGAAAGAAAAATAAGGTGCGGGGAATGCCCCCGGGCGTCAGTTCACAACATTTATTTGCAATTTCTCCATGCGCCTCACCTCTGCTCTCTCTGTCCTCTCCATAATTTGTGGAACACAGATTTGAACATAAGAAAGCAACGAACAAGAAAGGCCATTCTGCCCTCAAACACACAGCCTGCTATACGCTCAGCCCTGCTCCTTGCAGACTCCCAACATACCCACTCCATCACCGAACAACCTACAAAACTTACTCCAGATTCTAAAGGGTAAACACCCCTGAATACCTAGCTGAATACTTAGATCTGCAATGTTGCAATTAAAACCACAGTATGCGCTGATCAGTCACTGCAACAAACTGCAGTGAAGTTTTCACTCTATATGTTTTTCCAATAGCAAATCCCATTCTGAGCCAGTAACAAAAACCTTGGTGCCACTGGTCATCACCTCATTGACTGCGTTCTTTGCTTAGTGTGACATTGAGAGGGTGCTAGCAGCTCAGAAGACATCATGCCCT